CAGCTGGCGGTTCAAACCCACCAACCACTCCTCGGAAGGAAGGTTGGGCAATCCTACTTCCGTAGTGATACTGCCTCGGAAACCCAAGGAGGTGTCGCTATGAGTCAGGTTTGACTCGACGGCACATAACAACAACAACAAAGTCTTGTTTTTTCTATTGTCTTTCTATTTTCTGTTTCATTGATTTTTGCTTGAATCTTTATTGTTTCCTTTCTTCTGGAGACTGTAGGCTTTTCTTGCTGTTCTTTAGCTAATTGTTGGAGGTGTTGATTTAAAGTGTTGATTTTGGCTCTTTCTTCTTTTTTTATGTGTGCATTTATTGCTATAAGTTGGCCTATGATCATTGCTTTGGCTGTGTCCCAAAGATTTTGGTATGTTGTGCTTTAATTTTTGTTTGAGTCAAGGAATTTTTTAATTTCATTTTTTATTTCTTCTGTTACTCAGTTGTTTTTGAGGAGGGTGTTGTTCAGTTTCCATGTGTTTGCTCTTTTTCCATTGATTTTCCTGTTGTTGATTTCTCATTTTATAGCATTGTGATCTAAAAAGATGCTTTGCAGTATTTCAGTGTTTTTTTACTTTATTAAGGCTTGCTTTATGGCCTAACATATGGTCTATCCTGGAAAATGTTCCACGTGCACTGAAAAAGAATGTATATTGTGCTGTTGTGGGGTGAAGTGCTCTGTAGATGTCTATAAGATCAAATTGGTGTATTGTATTGTATTGTTTAGTTCTTCTGCATCTTCCAGTTTTATCTTTCATTGAAAATGGTCTCCTACAATGGCATGGAGTCATCTGTTTACCTTTTTAATTCTGTTAAAGTCTAATTTATGTATTTGGGGGCTTTTTTCATTGGGTCCATAAATATTTATTATGGTTATATCTTCATGTTCAATTGATCCTTTAATCATTATATAATGTCCTTCTTTGTCTCGTATGGTGGTTTTTGTCTTAAAGTCAATTTGATCAGAAATTAATCTTGCCCCTCCTGCTCTTTTTTGGTTGCTGTTTGCTTGATATATCTTTTTCAACCTTTGATTATTTTTCTAAGGTGTGTCTCTTGCAGACAGCATATTGACGGGCTATGTTTTCTTATCCAGTCTGCAACTCTCCATCTCTTCAGTGGTGCATATAATCCATTGACATTCAGTGTAATGATCAACAAGTATGAATTGATTCTATCATTTTGTTATGTGTTTTTCACGATGTTCCTTGTTTCTTTGTTCCATACAATTTCCTGTGCTGAGCTCACTATATTTATGAATTGTGTTATCATTTCCTTTGTTGCTATTGTTTTAGTATTTGCTAAATATTTGTGCTTGTCCTCTTTTTTATTGTGATGTGAAGGATTATCATTTTTCTTTGAGGTTACCCTGTGATTTATCATTTTCTCCCCAAAATTAGAACAGTCCATTCTATCTCACAACTCTCTTGACTTGCTCACCATTTAGAAGTTCTGTAACTACACTATTTTCCCCCTATTTTTGGTTTGCAGTTGTCCTCATTTGCCAATTGATGTCTCTGATTCCCTGTCTACAATCTTGTAAGCTTATTTTACTTTGGATACATCCATAGTTGTGTTGGTTTCTGGGTTATGCCATCTTGTGTATTTATGGTGGGCTGTCTTTTGCTATTATTGTTTCTCTGTTCAAAGAACTCCCTTTAGCATCTCTTGTAAGGTTGGTCTGGTTTTAACAAATTACCTTAATTTCTGCCTATGTGGAAATCTCCTAATTTCACCATCATATTTGAGGGACAATTTTGCTGGGTATATAATTCTGGGTTGGAAATTTTTATCTTTCAAGGTTTTAAGTATACCATTCCATTGCCTTCTTGCCTACATGGTTTCTGTTGAGAAATCAGAGCTTATTCTTATTGGTTGTACTTTGTAGGCAGCTTTTCATTTTCCCCATGCTGCTTTCAGGATTCCTTCTTTTTCTTTGGTTTTGGTGAGTTTGATGATGACATGTCTTGGTGAATTTCTTTTGGGGTCTACCCTGTTTGGAATTCATTGGATTCCCTGAATGGATACTTTTCTCATCTTTCATCATACTAGGGAAGTTCTCTTCCAACAAATCTTGGACAGTTTTCTAAATGGTATTCTTTTTCTCTTCCTGTCCTGGAATTCCAATTACACATAGGTTATTCTTTTAATAGTATCCCACATGAGCCTTAGGCTTTCTTCATTTTGTTTGGATCTTTTTTCTGATTGATCCCTTTCCAAAGAAGTATTGAGATATTTGTCTTCGATCTCATTAATTCTGTCTTCCATTGTTTTGATTGTACTCATTTACTCTTTCAATGTATTATCTTTTTCTGAAAATTTAGTACTAATCATCTGGATTTCTATTTGTAGATTTTGTATCATTTCTTAATTTTCATTTATTTTGTTATTTTATTTTGTTCTTGTATTTTCTTCTAAAATTGTTGTAGCATTTTGTCTGTGTTTCCTTAATTTTGTCAGTGTTTTCCTTGATCTGTCTCTCAATCTTTTGAAGATACCTAAGTGTATTTCTTTTGAATTCCTTATCAGGAAGTTCCAATGCAGCTTCTTCCTTAGGGATGTGTTCTGGGTCTGTATCCTGTTCCCTTGTCTCTACAGCTTTATCTTGCTTCTTTGTGTGGACTGTGATGGTCTGTTTTCTCTGAGACATTGTGATGTTGTTGTATTTAGATCTCTGTTAACTGTTTGTGAAGAGCAGCCAATGGTGAGTCGGGCTCTTCTTGGTAGTTGTTTATAATTGGCCAGTTGGTGGAGAAGGAAGTGATATCTCTCACTCAGTAAGTGGAGCTGCAGGAGGAGCAGGTGTGGTGGCTTCATATGGGCATGGTTGCTATCTCCACTCAGACAAAAACAATGATCGATAAGACATCAAGAAAGTACAAGCAAACAGACAAAGCACACTGCATTAACACATAGGAACAACCACCACAAAATGGAAAAATAGAAGGAAAAAAAAAAAAACCTGCAATATCTAGGGAGGGAGCAATGGGAGCAATAAGAGAAAAGAGGTAGAGTGGAAGAATAATGAAGAAAAAATGTGGAAAATCCAAAAAGAAAAGCAAGGGATGGGATTAACCATGAGAAAGAAAAAAAAGTGGGAATCAGGTAAAGGGAAGAGAGAAAAAGCTGAAAACTAGAACCTGGGAATAAAAGAGTAGAGAATAATAATAAAAAAGACAAAGAAAAAATATAATAATATTAATGATTTTAAAACAGACAAAAATGAACTGAAAAAAAAAGGGGGAAAAAAATCTGGGCAGGGTGGAGCAGGGCATTCAGTTTCTGTCAGAGCACACAGACTGGGATGGAATTCCTGCTGGCCCAGAAAGTGGGTGGGAGTGAGAGATGCCACATCTCTCTTCATCAAGAGGGTGTGGGGTGTAAGAGTAACAAGGGGAATATTGCACCTTGCCAGTCGTTCATATCTGTAATGTCTTTGTGGTTCATGGCGAGTAGAGCCTGTTCCTAGGTCCCTGGAATCTGAGAGAATGCTGTGACTTTAAATATCCAAAATGGTTGAACCACTTGTAAACATTCAAAATGGCTGTGCCCTCTGGACAGGAGTTGCCACATTTTTTATTTCAGTTAAGTTGACACTACAACACAACTCCTTTGCTTCCTAATGATAAAGCATTGGATAATGTTAAATGTTTTACTCTGAATTTTAAAAAAAAAATAATTATATAAGGGCTCCACAGATCATTGAAGACATGCTACCATATAACACCAAACCTAGAAATCACTTCTCTACCCTATGATTGGGAGCTCTGGTAGCATAGTGCCTAAGGCACTTGACTGCTAACCAGAAGGCTGGCGGTTCAAACCCACCAGCCACTCCTTGGAAGGAAGATGAGGCAATCTACTTCCATAGTGATACTGCCTCGGAAACCCAAAGAGGGGCCGCTATGAGTTGGGTCCGACTCAACAGCACATAACAACAACAACAACAACCCTATGATTACCATGTTCTTAGAGTCAATAACCATCCAACCAAGGTAGACATCAGGACATGGATATTTAAGTTATTTGGTGCAGTTTTCTCAGCTTCTAGGCTAAAATAAAGATTGCACAAAGTGAAAGAAACAGTATTTGAAGAAAAGCCAATTTTTGCCTTTACTTGATTTTTCTTTTTCCTTAGTGAGATGCTCCCAAGGTAAATGTCATGTGTAAATAGTAATATATTGAATTTTTCAGAACATATGCTAAAAATGGTAATGTTTTCTTTTTTAAGTTTCCAGTGAAGAGACGCTGCATATTGTTTCTACATTGTCAAGGAAAAACCATGAATCAAAGCAGCCTCTAAGAAGCAGACACAATGATTCTTCACTTAATCAATTTTGTGAACATCTCAGTGAGTTGGTCATTTACCATATAATTTCAAGGATTTTTGATGGCACCACGGAAGACAAAGAAAAAGTGAAAGTATTGGAAAACCAAGATGCAGCATTTAACAAGATTGTTTCAATTCATTCACAAATATTTGAGAACAGGTCCATTTCCATTGGAGAACTTGCTTTAAGAATTTCTGAAATCATTATTCGAATCCTTTCTAATAGTAATATTATAAAGGCTAACATTGTACAGCAAATGACTTCTATGCAAACAAAATACATTTACTGCCCAGAAGTAGCTGCTGCTGACTTTGATGACCTCTTTCAGGATCTCTTAGTAGGAGTGATTCATATACTATCCAAAGAAATTGGAATAAATCATCACCTTGAAAGCAATGGAAGAAACAAATCACGTTCTATGCTTAGAGGTCAAAGAGTGCCCATTTGCAACAAAACCAATGCCATGGGAAGACAGATGGATCTCAGAGATTCCAAATCATCTACTCATCAAATTGATCAAGTCCTTCAGAAAAATAAATTAAATTATCTGGCATGTAAGTTAGGCAGTTTGGTTGGTAGCTTAAAAACTCATGAATCCAAAGAAGTAGTCAACAAAGTTTTTAATATTGTTTTGGATGTGTTTTTGCCAGATGAATGCTCAGATGTGCCTATGGATTCTGGAAAAATAGCAAGGCAGTTTTACCCATCCTCAAATAATAAGGAAAGTAACAACACATATGGAAATAATTTAGGGCTCTCACCAAAATCTGTTTTTCTTCTTAATGTTGTGTGTGAGAAACTTATTAGAACACTTTTGGAAAAATATACACATACTAGCTACCTTGATAATAATGACCCTCTTTCTGAAGAAATAACAGAAGAACATCAACTTTTAAAAATACTTCAAAGCATAGGAGATGAAGAGTTTGATTTTTGCAAAGGAGCATTGGACTGTCACTCACTTCAAGGAGATTACATTTCAGACCTTTCAGAAAACCTGGCAGAAATAGACCAAGACTTACTGTCATCAGACTCTATGCTTACTATTATTTCCCACAGCTTGGTTAAATCATTGATGGAAAAACTATCTCACAGTATACAACATACCTCTGAAAATCTTCCTTTTACAAACAAGCATTTGAAGCATAGAACAAGAGAAATACAGTCTACTTTCACAAAAGCCAATAGTCCCGAATTCACAGAGTTAAGACGAGAAAAGGGCTCCTTAAGATTTATGAGATATGACAATAATCCTTTGAAAAGATCTCTGAGTAATCCCAGTATAGTTGGATCCAAGATACAAGCACCTTTTGGAAAACAATTTTCAGTAAAATCTTCTGTGTCACCTTTTAAAAGACAGAAAGCAAAAGAAATGGATACAACAGCCATCAATGACATGCTACATCCAAGAGGCATGAATATGGGTGTTTATTCAGCCACATTTCTGGAGGAAATAATTTCAGAATTATTTTTTAATCTCTCTACTTCATTGTGGGGTGAAAATGAAAACATCACTGAGGCCTGGCTCAATGAGATGAATATATTATTTATCAATTCTGTGGTGAATGAATTTAATGCCCAGGTCACTGTTTTACAGAATGCTGAAGAAAGGCTGTGTTTTCCACCAGTTCATAAGGAAACTGTAGCTAAGATTGTTGACTCAGTTTATCATGATGTTTTACAGCACTATAAATCAAAAGTGACCTGTGGTAATAATCTGGCACATGACAGTACCTCAATAGCGGAACAAATAACTAAGAGCATACTGCTAGAGATTTTAGACTACCAACTCCCATCTCACTTCAGGAGGAAGCTCATGCCTAATTCACATCAACTTCTCAAAGCTGAAATTATACTGCAGAAACTTCAAAGTAACCTGAGAGAATTTACTTCCCAGCCCAGCTTTTCAATAGGATACAGAACCATATTATCACACTCATTTTTAGAAGATGTTATTAAAAGGCTTTTATCTCAGCTCATTCCTCCACCAAGTGAGTCTTCCTCTTTGGGGAAGAAATACTTAAAGAGTTCAGATTTTAATGAAATGTCCACCTGTATAGTAAATAAGGTTATGTCAGCCATCTCCAAGCATAAAATTTGGTTTACTATATATGATAATCATTATCTGTACACAGGAAAAAACCTCCAGAAGATGGTGGATTCTGTTTATAGTAATATTTTGCAAATGTCTAACTCTATTGTTTCAATACAGAAAAGTATAGTGAGCCAAAGCCCAGTTATAGTAGACCAAATAGCCAGTTGTATTATCCAAGAAATTATTGAAAATCATCTTCACCCTTTTCTGTGTGGAGAGAGTTCACCTCATCCGAATGCTCCATTGGATGAAATATCTAAAATGGTTAAACATGTTCTCAGTGATGTCACAGACTCAAACAGATTCCAAAAGCTATCACCCTTAGCTATTAACCCTGATGCATTTGTAGGGGAAATTGTTGCCAGACTTTTATCTAAGATCTTCATTCCAAAGTTTAATACTGAAGTTGAGCTGGAAAAAATGACCCAAAAAATAATAAACTCAATAAATAACCATTTTGCCAAAGCAAAAATTCACACTCTATATGACAAAGAGCTATCTGATCCTTCTGTAGATACAGATATTGTGGATAAACTTGTCACTTCAGTTTATAGAAATGTTTTAAAACAGCATGGACTAGATCTTGAGGTTGTTAAAGACTCTAAAGACAGTGATATTTTTGTGGAAAATATTACCAATCTAATTGTGGCAGCTATTTCAGATTACTTTCTTCATCCACTCCTTTCTGGGGATTTGTCAGATTCTTCTTATTCTTCATCAGTGGCTGAGAATATTGTTCAGGACATCCTCAGTGGCATCAGTACATCTACCAAGGCAAGCCAGAGTTTATCTCCATATAACACCTTGCTTCCATACACATTTTTAGAGGATTTGACCAGAATGCTATTATCTAGGATCTTTCCTTCCACATCTAGCTTGGTTCCAAGCAGAGAAACCCCAAAAGATGGATCAGGAGTGAAATTCAATGCAATTGCCTCAAAGCTAATCAGTGATATTAGGATGAAAATTTCTCAACATGAAATTCTTTTTTCAAAAGATGAACAGGAAACCAAATTTGTTTATTCAGAGGATGATATTCAGCATCTTGTTGATTCAGTATTTAAAAATATTTTGCAAAACTCTAGTACTCAGGAATCAGTTGAGCAAAATATCACAAACAGCAATGATGTTCTTATTGATAGAATAGCAGGTTATATCATTAAATATATCTGTGAGCAACATCTTCAGCCATTTGTAGATGGGAAATCATTAACATCTTCATCATGCACATATTTTGATGATGAGAGAAGGCAGTTGTTTTATACTAGTGTTTATTCTTCAAATTTTCTGGAAGATGTGATATCTGGGGTTTTAAACAAAATATTCCACAGGTTGTTAGGAATTGTGCCAACAAAATCAGTAAGAGATTCAGGAGAGGAACTGTTGGATACAGCTGAAAAACTAATACCTCTAATAATAGAGGAATTCTCAGAAGCCCAAGTTAGCATCCTAGAAAATGCTGAGGATCAGTTTGGTTTGCCTCCAGTTGAAAGAGATACAGTCATAAAAATTATTGACATAGTGTATGACAAATTTTTGCAAGAATATGAAATGGAAATAATGCCCAATAAAGATTTTCTAAGTGACACAAAGACACTGGCTGCAAGGATAACTAGAATAATCTTGGCTGAAATTTTTGATTTCCAAATTCACCCAGGTTTTATAGCAAAACTGCCTTTTAAGTCACATTCCAAACTCAGTGCTGATGTTTTGATAAAGAGAATTATGTATGATTTTAGTAAATCAAGACTCCGAAGACAGGTTTCAACAACATACACAACTATGCTATCACATACTCATTTGGAAAAAATTGTCACTCAGATTATATCTCAGATTAGTCCTTTCATTTCCAGTGCAGAAAAGCCAGTTACTACTCAATCGGACTTAAGTCATACTGTCATGGAAGTGATAAAGGAAATTATGTCAATAATTTCAAAACATGCAATATGTATTATTAAAGATGGGAATGAAAAACAAAATATTATTTCCGAAAAAGATATCTGCTCTATGGTTGATTCCATATATGCTGATCTTTCATACTCGAATCTGTATCAGTCTCTTACAAAAGATGAAAAAGGCATAAGTAACATACCAGTTTCAAAAATAGCAAGTTTTATAATAAAGGAAATCTTTAATCATCATCTACAGTCATTTTTATCTGGAGACAAAACTCACCTTTCAGCTGCAGTTGATCAAACTTATAAACCTGAAGCAATAGGTTCTGAACAAAAAGAATTGTCTTTCATTGTGAACTCAGCTATCTTTATGGAAGATGTAATTTCTGAGCTTTTATGCAAACTCCTTTATGCATTCTCACACAATGTCTTGGTTGCTGAAAATCCAGATAAAGTAAAAGCTGAAACTACTGGCATTGTTACAACATTAGTGAAAGCAATTGTTCTGGAGTTCACCACTTCAGAGATTTTACTTGCAGATAACATTGATAAAAATCTGTGTTTTTCAGAAGGATATAAAAAAATGGTTCAAAACACAGTCAGCTTAATTTATGAAAAAATATTAGATGAATATAAATCTCTGATTCATGTATATAGGGCTATTCAAAATGACACTATGCATTTTGGAAGGGAAATATACCATTTACTCTTGGGAGAAATTTATGATTACCAGGTACAATCATTAATTTCAGGAGAATTATTGTATTCTTCCTATTCTTTCCCACGAGCAGATAATATCATCAGAAAAGTACTGGATACCATCGTGGAGGATAACCATACCTTGCCATCATGTATTACTGTGTTGCCTCGTTCCCTTTTAGAAGATATGATTTACAAGCTTCTTGTGCATATCTTCCCATTACCTGACCCTAAAAATGACCTAAAAGACAAAGAGGTCCCATCAGATTATGAATTTGTAGATGCAACTTCTAAATTGACTGATGAAATTATAAAAGAAATTTCTGAACATGAGATTCGGCTTGCCACAGCAGAAGAGAATGTAGAAAGTATGCAATTAGAAGCAATTGAAAATTTGATTGATTCCATATGTAACAACATTTTGAAAAAATCTGAATTCCAAGCTCAAGTACAGAAAGATACACCCAAAAAAGAAGGCTCATTTCTCAGTAAAATAGCTGGCCTGATTATAAAGGAAATCATGGATCATCATCTGCAGCCGTTTTTGCATGGTGAAGATTCATCTTCCAGTGACTTATTTGGTGGTGACGATGTTTCAGTATGCACTAAACCTGGTAAAGAAAAGACACAAACTTCCCTATATTCAGCTACATTTTTGGAGGATGTAATTGTTGACCTTGTGCGCAAATTTTATTCTCTTCCAAGTGTTGAAGGTTCTAAGAAAAAAGAAATGCCAAAACCAGACATTGTAAGCTTGGCTATAAAGTTTGCAAACTCTCTGATAAGGGAATTTAGCAAAAGTGAAATTAAAGTTCTGCAAAATGCTGAAGAAATACTTTCTTTTCCGCCAATTGATAAAGAAACTGTTGATAAAATATCAAATTTTGTGTATGATCAGTTCATAGTAAAATATGGGTCTAATGATATTCAGAAAGATGATGAAAGTCACATTTTCATAGAAATTATTTCTTCTTTAGCCCAGAACGCAATCTCTGCTTTCAAGATTCAACCACTTTTTTCAGGAGATTGGTCTTCCACCTTTTTTTCATTTCTAAATCCAGATAACATCACCCAAAGAGTTCAACATCTACCACAAGAAAACTCTACACAGATAAGCGGGTGCTTGAAAGGGAATCAAATTACTTTACCACAAGAGTCATGTAAACAAGTTTCTCCAGCCTCAGACCAGAAAAATACAATGGATACTTTGGAAATAGATAGAGATGAAATGAGTGGAAACAGAAGTTTCAACAAAGAGGAGAAATCAAGGAGAAAAGTTGCCACTCCTCATCCAATAGCTACCTCTAAAACCAGCATTGTGAAAAGTAGCATGGTTAAGCAGGCATCAGAGGCAGCTTCAGGTGGGGCAAATAAAGAGATGGAGAAAGAAAACAAAATGCAAAGTGCAATTCAAATATATGATGGGTTGATAGTTACTTCTCCAACTATCAGTATGAAAAGTAAGGGTTTTCAGGAGCCAGATTTGAGTGTAGCACTTAAAAATAATGAAGTAGAGCAGAAAAGCATATCAGCTACAAAAGATGAGCAAAGGCCTGGTGATGAGGTACACACACACATTTCAGTAGTTACTGATGTTACAAAATACGAAAAGAGAGTGCCAAGATTAGATTTTGAAATCGATGATGAAAAGAAGAGTACCCAAAATAAAGAAAGTTCACTACAAAATGATAGCAAGCCTTTTGCAATATCTTTGCTGTCCAGAGCAAGAAATGTGGAGGCCACAACAGAGAAAACTCTGAAAATTGTCATCCAAAAGCCAACTCAAATCCTTATGAATGAGGAACAATACTTCGATTATGAATGTGTTAAAAATGTCACTGCAAATATTTATGAAAATATTTTGGAAACACCTTTCCAGGAACCAGAAAGTGGTTCAAAATTCCAAACTTCCCCAGGTGATAAAGCATTGCATGTAATTCAAACGGTTGGCAACTATTCTTTACCATCTCTTTCAGCGGTATCCTCTATTAACAAAAAAGTCCCCACCAAGGAGAAAGAGCAACAGAAGGAGGAAGTCAAAGAGATTAAAAGTGAACCTGGTAAACCAGACAGTTCTCAGTCCTCACCAGAAAATAGACCTAGAATTTTTCCTGCTAAATTTTTAGAAGATGTTGTTACTGAAATGATTAACAAATTGATCTTTTGCTACCGACAGGAAACACAAACCTTTGATAGTTGCCAAAATGTAACTGGTAATGAAAATCAAGCTGAACTCTATAACACAGCTATGAAACTGATTGACTCACTCTTGAAGGAATTTTCAGATGCTCAAATTAAAGTATTTAGGCCAGATAAGGGAAATCAGTTTTCCCCTTGTGCAGATGAAGTCTCCTCAGGTCCTAAAATGCCTCCCAGGCAAAAAGAACCAACTTCAGATGAAGCATCATCCAGCATTAAGATGATAACTGTGGATAAAATACAACCTGTGCATAAAATAACTAAAAAATCCTCTTCAAATAAAGTATCCTTTCTAGATAAAATGCCAGCACTCGATAAAACATTAGTCAATAAAATTGTTCACTCTTCCATATGCAATATTTTGCATGAATATAGATCCCAAGACTCCATTTGTAAGAACATAAACTCTAATAGGGAACGTTTAGCAAGAAGGCTAACAACTGCAGTGATAAATGAAATTTTTCATCATCAGCTTAACTTGATATTTGGTAATGAGGTTCCAGCTTCAGCATGTTTGCCTCTGCAATCTAAGGATGTTGTTAAAAAGATCCAAAAGGTGGCCCAAACAGCCAACAAAGAATGTCAAACATCATCGCCATATACCATAATGCTGCCTCATAAATTTTTAGAGAATGTGATTTCTTCTCTTTTATCTAAAATTTTCTTTACAGAATCAAACACCAAAGCAGAAACCTCTGAGGACAGTTCTTACACAGAATTGGATTTTCTTCAAAGGAAATTAGTTAGTATAGTTATGACAGAGATCTCCAAAGATGAAGATATGGTTATACAGTATACAGAATCCTTACATCCTAATGATGATGAAATTATTCAATTAGTGGTTCAGTCTATTTATAATAATCTCTTGCCACAGTTTGGATCTCAAGAGATTATACAAAATTGTGTAGCCAGTGGATGCAGAATGCTTTCGGAAGCCATAGTTGACTTAGTGCTACGAGAGGTGGCTGGCAATCAGTTGCAGAACTATTTTTCTGGAGAGCTAACTCCACATCAGTGTGCACAAGTTGACAGCATTGTTGAAAATATCCTTAAAAACGTCACCCAAACTACTGATGTTCCCCAGCCTCAACCATCACATGCTTATACACTGTCTTATAATATAGTAGAAGAAATTGCTGTAAAATTTCTATCAAAGCTTTTATCTATGTTTCCAAAAGTGAATAAGGGAAGAACCAAATCTCCAGAAACTGAAATGCAAAAAATAACCTCCAAAATCTTAAATTCAGTCCAGGAATTTATATCCAAAAGTCAGATTAAACTTGTAGCTCCAACCAAGGAATCACCTTCTATACCTTCTGCTGATAAGGCAACTATTGAAAAGGTAGTTAATTCTGTTTATACCACTGTTTTAAAGCACTCTGGCTCACATACTTCCATATTTAAAGATTTGATGAGTAAGAGTAATATCCTATCTGATATAATAGGTTTTTTAATGGTGAAGGAAATTTCCAATTCAGAATTTCAACCTCAGGTAAAGGAAGAAGTATCAAATTCAGAATTAGTTCTAGAAGCTGTAAAAATTATGGAAAAAGTGGTTAAAATTATTGATGAATTGAAGTCCCAGGAAAAATCTTCATCTAAAAAATGTTTTGCATTAGATGCTGCATTTTTAGAGGAAGCATTGGCCTTGTTCTTGGCTAAAATAGTAAGGTTGCCAAGTACCTCAAAAGAGAAGAAAAAAAGCTTATCAAGGCCTGAATTAAATAAAATTGCATCCCAACTGACAAAATCTGTAACAGCTGAAATTTCTAATAGTAACATTAATCTTGTAGCTGCTAACCCTGAAGAACACTTTTTAAATCCAGAAAGTATAGAGATGGTTTCTCAGGTTGTTGAATCTGTTTACAGTGATGTATTAAAACAATCTGGAACTCAGGAAAACCTTTATTATGATATAAAAGGTACAAACAAACTCTTCCCTGAGAAGGTGGCTAGTTTAATTATTAATAGTGTTTCAAATTTTTCTTTAAATAAAATTAGCTCAGAGAGTTCGAATGGTGATCTCTTTGGAGATCTGGACACTGACCGAATTGTTCAAAAGGCACAAGAACATGCTGTTAGCATTGTTGCTGACATAGAGAAAGAAGAGTTAGTTGAAGATTCAACTGAAGAGAAACTTTCGGTCAAAATAGTTCCACACATTAGGAATAAACCAATCAACATAGATCCAGACATTATTTCAGAACACTTAGCAGTCATTTCTGTAAAAACTCAACCTCTTGAGAAGCTTAAGATGGAGTGTTTAAGAAAAACTGGGCATAGCATACAAGAACTGAGAAAAGCATCAATAAGTGGGAGAAGTTATTCCTCATCAGAAACATCCGATGGAGAAAGGAAAAAGAAAGAAAGACGTATCTCACTGAACAGGATAGGACGACTGGATGTAAAGCCTTTTGAGGTATGTGCAAAAAAAAATGAATAGTGAGGCCAGGTTGTTGTTCTCTGATACCCTTTCTCAAAGAGGTCTATTGGAATGAATTTTCCCCCCATGTGACAGAATTGAGTGCATTGATTCTTTCCAGTACAGCCTTATGATTTATTGGAACTTGCCGTATCAGCTCTGTGGTTTACTCTAAAAATCTCAGGCTAGTCTCCCTAAGCCAATCAGGGTGAATTTAAGTTCTTTTGAACAATGGGAATATAGCTACATACTCTTAACAGTAAAAGGAAACTGTGTGGGATTTAATCTTTACTTGAAGGTTCAGAAGAAGCCATCTCTTATAGTTTCTGCATTTTTTTACTATGGATATTAAAGGGTGTTTAAAAGAGCATCAATATAACATCAAAATCCTGAGACTCCACAATAGTTTTAATTTCCCAAATTTAAAGTTTTACAATAGTAACTTTTTACTTTTAGCAACAGTCATCAACCACCATTAGACTACAAACCCATAGATTACACATGTTTCTTAGTATTTCACTTTCATGCTGTTAACTAATCAGTAGCCATCAAGTCAATTCCAACTCAAGGTGATCCCATGTGTATCAGAATAGAACCACACTCACACATACAATAACAAATTCCAAAGCCAGAGATAAGGATTTGGGATTTCCTAAGCTACTCTTTCTCTTCACTAGCACAGATGATCAAAACTGATGGTTTTCATTCTTTAAAGAGGTTCTTCCTACATTTTGTTTTCCACAGAAGATATTTTAGAGCACAATTACCTGAAAAGGTTGCTTACAATGTTACAAAGAGATGTTAAGATCCAGATTATTAACTGAAATTAATTTAGAGTTCCTGTGGTATAATCAAAGGCTGTAGAAATGGGGAGATTCCATTAGTATTATCTCATCCTTGCTCTGTCTTTAACACTGAAAGATAGAAGGTGATATTTAATGAGGTGACAAGAAATGAAAGTTTGTTTTCAAGCTTCTTTGGAAAAATATGTTGAAAGGATCAGGTGTAGAGGGATAGGGAGTGAAGATTGAAAGGCTTCACAGTTTTGGCTGTTATTAATTATTTTAAAAATCAAGGTTAGACAAAACCTTGCCCTTTTTTCTTGAAAAAAATCTGAATTTAGATTGACTTAAGATTCCCTACCTAGGATCTTAGAAAAATATATTATCATGCCTACTTTTCTGATAAAACTTTTAAGGTAAGTGACAAAAACAGAGACTAATCAAATTATTTTGCAATAAAATGTAAAATGTAAACAAAAGAATGAACTTATGTTAAACTTCCCTCTACTTTTTACAGTAATTTGTCCTAATGTTATCTCTGAATATAAACAATTATGAAACCAAAAAATTTTTCTTATAATTTTCATTTGCTTCTTTTTAAAAGTATATCATTAAGATACAAGTAAATGGCATTTAGAGATAATTCTACTAGCAATGATACAAAAACAGCTAAATTACAATAAAAGCACAAGAAAAATAACTGAGGCTTTGTTTCTAATATTCATTGCACCTTCAATTCCAGGCTGTTGGCAGAAATTCCTTTCAAAATATACGAAAACCTGATCTTACAAAGGTGGAGCTTTTGAAAGATGTTCAGAGCAAACAAGATCTTATAATTCGATTAGTAGCTCATGATATTGATCAAAAAGATTCAGAAAGTAACATAGAAGAGGGACTAATTTCTGATGAAGAAGAAGTTGTTTTAGGAGCGGTACAAGGAGGACTCTTAGAAGAAAATGTTGAAGATCAAGTAAAAGAAGTCATGAAGCCAGAAATCAAAGTTGTTTCTCCCAAACCAACATTAAGCACAAACAGCCTGAGAAAATTTTTGTCGCTAAGCAAATGTTGTCAGCCCACATCCAATGCAAATACCAAAAGTAGTGAAGCAACCTCAAGTTCTGTAACAGAATCTAAGGAGCAACAAGTTAGAAAAGCTGTTGCTGAGCTTAATGTGGCCACCTGCTCAACACCTTTGACTGAAGCACATTCTTCTCTTGTGGAGAAAAAGCCACAGCATATTGTAAGTGAGATATGTGACTGTCAGTTACCAGTAGTCTATGGAAAGTGTAGAGAACGTTACAAATTCTGTCCAAGAATGTATCCGAACTAGGCAGCACTAAAATGAATCCAGACTGTCTCCTCATAAACCTGGTGAGATTTAACAGTATAAGGGAAATAAGAGAGAAAGGCATGATCCTCAATTAAGGGAAAGCAGATAATGGAAAGAGACCTAGATCAGTTAGAAGCACAAGCAAAACAGAAACTAGTTAAGATAAATGCAAGCCATTTTAAAAAACAAAAAAATGGACTCCAGTTCTTTGGCTTCATTTTTGGCAGCCTGAAGCAGGATTCATATTCCTGAGTTTGAATCTTGACTCTGACATGTAATAAGTATGAAATGTGGGGGCAGGTTACATAGCCAGTTTTTTTTTTTTTTTTTTCCTTAAAAGTTACAGTGAAGCCCATGAGAGACAAAACTCACTTGTTTGTCTGGATCTTGCAAATTTTCCACTTTTTTAGGGTTCTTCCCACTTTTCTATCACTCTCTATTAAGAATCTTACCTTATAAACACCCAATGAGTTTTCCTTCCCTGGCAAGTTTCCACCTTAGACAGGTTCTGGCTTTTGTGGATTTTATTATACTTAGCCAACTTGTCCAAACTTAACAAGTTAATCAAAATATTTTAAATATCACCTCTGTAATCAGAGTACAAATTCTACTGTCATCATGGTGTACAGAAATTGTCCTGGTTCCATACCCCTCAAAGGGTGGTCTGGATTTTCATAACCCTTTTGGTTAACCCTATCCAAAAGTCTGTGCCATAACATGTTTCGGAAGGATACATATGACTTAAGATTTCCCGGTGAGATAGTTTTCTTGATTATCCATTTTGAAGTGATACCCTGGTTGACACAAAAGCTGAAAAGAACCAGAGAAAATGAACAGGGATATAATTTTGAACAGTTTTCAGACTTTCCAGGTTATTTGTCTTAATGCAAATGTCAGTAAGTCATGTGGGATTTTTATGACCAAATGTACTCTGTAGAACAGTTTCTTTATGCAGCGTGGTCAGAAATGCTGACTTCATAGATAGCAAATGAAATGTTATACTACAACATTGGCAAACATCAAAATGGATTATATGAACAATAATCCTAACAGTAGCCAATCTTTTTGATATGATTAACACAAGTTACTCAGTTTTTTAATCCAGCAAAAATGAATTAAAAATATTCATATAGAAATAGAATAGAGTATTCTTCAACCATTGTATTAGGTTTCTGTTTATATCTATTCAAAACCCAATTTAAATAATCTTCACTGAGCCATTTCCAAAAAATTATATCTGAATGGACATTTTAATTGGAATTATAGGAGTCTTCCATCTTTTAAGTAATTCTAAAACTTTATCTTACTACAGTGTAGATGAAAGTGCAGAATATGCCCATAAGATGAAAGAAAATATGCGTATCAAACTCTTCTTTGTGTAATATGTGATTTACACTTTTTCAGAAAGAAGAAAGAAGTCTTTTAAATGAACCGACACATTACTTCATACACAGAATTATGAGTTCATCTTCATACAACCAAGAAGACCTGATTTCATCTGCCGGGTACATTAAATTAAAGCAATACAGAAATAGAAATCTGAAATGAAATACTGCTTATTGGGAAAACTGGGTTCCTGGGAGTTCCTGAGTTTGCAAACTGTTAAGTGATTGGCTACTAATGAAAGACTGGCTGTTAGAATGCACCGAGATGTACCTCAGAAAGAAGGTCTGGTGATCTGCTTCCAGGAGGTCACAGCCTTAAAAACTCTATGGAATGTAACCACACTCTGTAACTCTTGTGGTTTCGCTGAGTCAGAATCTACACAATGGCAACTGGCTTGGTTTTGGTTTGAGATTCACTTTGTTTTTTGGTAAAAATAGGAGAGAGCAAATATTTAGCCCTGCACTTTCTCTCACACCTTGCTGGTTTTTCCCTCCCTTGACTTCTTGCTGTGGTCATTTCCTAAACCTTCCCTTCCTACCTGCTCCACTATTTCTAGTTACCTGACCTCTACTTCCTTGTTTTGAGACCTACTTTCTATTACAGTGGTGTCTTGGATCAAGTATTTGCTGATGTGTTAGGATGTTTTAGTCTGGGAGTCAGACACTAGATAACAATAGTATTTGAACTTCTTGTGTGTAGCATTACCTGTAAGAAGAACCCAAATACAAAAGGGAGCAGTGTAAAGTAGCACATTCAGGGATACATTATAAATCATGTGGGCCTTTTAGGATGGATAGGATTTAGATGAGAGCAGGCAATCTAAGTGGCATACTGTAGGAGCAAAGTCTGGATTGTGTGGCATTTAGAGAAGATGGAGAGGGACAAGAGAATTGTAGACTTAAAGTTTCATTGCAGCTAAAACTTGCCTAAAATTGTGAAGTTAAGAATATTAATAAACTGGAAGAGAGCATTTTTTATCATGGGAGAAGCACTGGGCATAAGCAGAAAAATCTATTTGGTTACATTTATTTTTCCACTTCATACTATGGAATTGTTTCTTTTTGACCTGATACCAGGTAGGAAATCTATTACTGGTCCACCATTGCCTCTTTTCCTCTGCTCAAGAGCTAATTTAACATACATAATTAGTAATGCAGATACTACTGTATCATTTATATCTGGAGAGAAGAAAAAGGGCACAGATAATGCCAAATAAAAGTCAATTTGGCAATTAGTTTCACTTGATTTGGAAACTCAAAAGCAAAACAAAACCCCCTGCCATCAAGTCAATCCAACTCGTAACAACCTGTTAGGACAGACTGGCACTACACCATAGAGCCTGCAAGACTGTAAATGTGGACTGCCTCATCTTTCTACAAGGGAGCATGAAATGGCTGGTGGGTTCAAACCACCAACCTTTGGATTAGCAGCTGAATGCTTTAACCATTGTACCACCAGACCTCCTGATTTAGACACTCAGAGATAACTATTCCAAGTTTACTTCTATGTGAAAACAATTGACAGGTTATTCCTTTTTTTTTTTTTCTCCTATGTATATATATTCTACCTCTGATTTGGCCTGTCTCCCTCTTACACACCAATTGACCTGGGAATCTATGAATGTGTCTGTCCACTTGAAATGCTAGTTAGGCTCTCCAGAAAAGCTGATACTAACTGCCGGCTGTGGTCACCATCTCCGGTTCTTTGCACTCTCTTTGAACTTTCTCAGCACTCCTGATATCCCTCTCATTGGGTGGGTATTAGGGATGTCTTTACACTGTGACATTGTGTTTGGTCAAATACCAGTAGACAGTCCTGTCATCAGAGCTCCTCTGGAATCCCTACCTGAGCCATAGAACCACAATAAACCCTTCCCTGTTTCTGTTCTGGTCCCACCACTGATGGGATATTGTTTTGTTTAACCAATAACTCTTCCATTATTAAATACATGGAAAATAAAATACTCCTTTTCTTTTGTTTTTAGTGAAACTGAAGATTTTACCACAGATCAACGTGCTAAAATATTAGAAGGTGGGATTGATTTTTTTTTTTTTTCATAATTTAGAGTGTTAAAATGAGAGTTTGTTTACTGCTTTGATTAATTTTTTAGGTATCAAATCTGAAGTTAACACTGTTTCCTCCCACCCCCAGTGGTTTATCTATTTTTGGAAAATGACCTGTTGTTGTTGTTATGTGCCGTCGAGTTGGACCCGACTCATAGCGACCCCTCCTTGGGTTGCCGAGGCAGAATCACTACAGAAGTAAATCGCCCAACCTTCCTTTCGAGGAGTGGCTGGTGGGTTTGAACTGCCAGCCTTCTGGTTAGCAGTCAAGTGCCTTAGGCACTATGTGATAGATAATATAACTCAATTGTTAAAATGAGCCACTAGTTTGCCTTGCCTGAATTTCTATTAAGATATCATTAATGATTTTGGTGTAGAGCATTTGATGTGATACCATGAATTTATAACTACCGTATTCCTATGGAAAATATTCCCAAAATAAGGTTGTTTGCTATGATAGTTTATATGCGGCCAGAACCCAAGCTACTATGATTTAATCATTTCTTTCAGAGGTTATCTTTCTTTTTATCATGCTTCTTGTTGTTGTTGTTAGGTGCCATCGAGTCATCTTTGACTCATAACAACCCTATGTACAACAGAACAAAACACTGCCCAGTCCTGTGCCAGCCTCATGATCCTTGCTATACCTGAGCCCATCTGTTCTAGTTACCTAATGCCGCTCTGACAAGAATATATACCACAAATGGGATGGCCTTAACAAACAGGAGTTTATTCTCTCACAGTTTGGAGGCTTTAAGTCCAAGTTCAAAGTGCCAGGCTCTAGGGGCTGGGTGAAAGCCCCTCAATCTTGGGGTCCAGCTCTGCCTCCTGCTCCCGGCCCACTGAAGCTAGAGGCATTTCTTCACTCAGACAGCTGCTGGCTGCTAAGGCTGAGAAGCCCCAAGGTTGACAAGAAAAAAGGCACAGTTCCGATGTTACCAAACCACATGGCAGGCCATTTAACTTAAGTCCACTGTAAGTTCCAAGGTCAGCAGAACATAGCAGACTGTTGAGCAATGACACAGCTACATGCAGGGTCCAAGTGTGTGCCATAAGCTAGAGACCATTCTCAAAGCTTCTCCTTATATACATGAAGCTGACCACATCCCAAAGGCAGCTACTCAGCCGCTTGTGATAGATCCCACCATGGAGTTGATTGCCAGTCTCATCATGGGGAATAACTACCACCAACTCCCCAGCCACTCAATCAGGCCCAGCCAAGTTGACACAAACATAACTACCACACCATCATTACAGCCATCTTGTTGAGGGCCTTCCCCTTTGTCATTGACCTTCCACTTTTCCAAGCATGATATCCTTCTCCAGAGAATGGTTTCTTCTGACAGCATGACAAAGTAGATGAGATGAAGTCTGGTGGACATTCTCACTTCTAAGGAGCATTCTGGCTGCACTTCTTCCAGGACAGATTTGTTAGCTCTTTTAGCAGTCCATGGTATTTTCAGTATTCTTTGCCAACACCACAACTCAAAAGCATCAATTTTCTTAGGTCTTCCTTATTCATTGTCTAGCTCTTACATGCATATGAGGCGACTGAAGATACCATGGCTTGGGTTTGGGACAACTTAGTCTTCAGGGAGACATCTTTGCTCTTCAGCACTTGAAAGAGTTCTTTTGCAGCAGATTTGCCCAGTGTAATACATCGTCTGATGTCTAGACTGCTACTTCCATTGGTGTCAATTGTGGAACCAAGTAATATGAAGTCTTTGACAACTTCAACCCTTTCTCCATTTATCAGATGTTGCATATTGGTCCAGTTGTGAAGATTTTTGTTTTCTTTATATTGAGGTGTAATCCATACTGCAGACTGTAGTCTTCAATCTTCATCAGTAGGTGCTTCAAGTCATTCTCACCTTCAGCAAGCAAAGTTGTGTCATCTGCATATCACAGGTTGTTAATGAGTCTTCTTCCAATCCTGATGCCACATTCTTCTTCATATAGTCCAGCTTCTTGGATAATTTTCTCAGCATACAAATTGAATACATATGGTGAAATGACACAATCCTGACACACTCCCTCCCTGAATTTAAACCATGCAGTGTCCCCTTCTTATGTTTGGACAACAGCCTCCTGGTCTATGTACGTTCTTCATAAGTACAATTAAATGTTCTGGAATTTCCATTCTTCTCAATGTTATGCTTTATTCTTATGATCCACACAGTTGAATGATTTTGCATAGTCCACAAAACACAAGTAAATACCTTTCTGGTATTCTTTGCTTTGAGCCAATATCCATCTGACATCAGCAATGATATCCTTCATTCTGTGTTCTCTGCTGAATCCAGCTTGCATTTATGGAAGTTCTCTGTCAGTATACTGCTTCAACCATTTTTTATTTATCTTCAGTACAATTTTACTTGTGTTGTTTGATAACTTCCACATTCTGTGGGATCACCTTCCTGTGGAGTGGGTACAAATGTGGATCTCTTCCAGTCAGTTGGCCAGGTGGCTGTCTTCCAAATCTCTTGGCATAGCCAAATGAGTGGATCCAGCATGGTATCCATTTGTGGAAACATCTTAATGGGTATTCCATCAGTTCTTGCGGACTTGTTTTTCACCACTTCCTTCAGTACAACTTCGACTTCTTCCTTCAGTACCATTGGTTCTTGATCATATACCACCTCTTGAAATGGATGAACATTGACCAATTCTTTTTGGTACGATGACTCTGTGTATTCCTTCCATCTTCTTTTGGTGTTTCCTGTATCAATCAATATTTTGCCCATAGAATCTTTCAATATTGCAACTCAAGGCTTAAATTTCCTCTTCAGTTCTTTCAGCTTGAGAAATGCTGAGAGTGTTCTTCCCTTTTGGTTTTCTAACTCCAGGTCTTTGCACATTTCATTATAATAATTGATTATCTTTTTGAACTGGTTTTGAAATCTTCTGTTCGGCTCTTTTGTCTTGTCAACTCTTCCATTTGCTTTAGCTACTCTCCACTCAAGGGAAAGTTCCAGAGTCTCTTCTGACATCTATTTTGGTCTTTTCTCCCTTTTCTGTCTTTTTAGTGACCTTTGCTTTCTTCATGGATGATGTTCTTGGTGTCATCCCACAACACCAATTTTTGGTCATTGGTGTTCAGTGCATCAAATCTATTCTTTAGATGATCTCTAAATTCAGGAAGTATGTAATCAAGGTCATATTTTGGTTCTTGTGGACTTGTTTTAATTGTCTTCAGCTTCAACTTGAACTTGCATGTGAGCAGTTGACGGTCTGTTCCACAATCAGCTCCTGGCCTTGTTTTGGCTGAAGATATTGAGCTTTTCCATTGCCTCTTGGCACAGATGTAGTCAATCTGATTCCTATGTACTCCATCTGGTGAAGTCCACTTGTATAGTCACTGTTTGTGTTGTTGAAAAAGGTATTTGCAATGAATAAGTCATTGGTCTTGCAAAATTCTATCATGCGATTTCTAGTGTTATTTCTATCACCAAAGCCATATATTCCAAATACCAGTTATTCTTCTTTGTTTCCACCTTTTGCATTCCAATCACCAATGATAATCAACAGATCTTATTTATTTATTTATTTATTTATTTATTCATTGTGCTTTAGGTGCAAATTTACAGAGCTGAATTTGTCTTACATTCAACATTTCACATACATTTGGTTTCACTCCCCAATTACCATTCCCAACCCTAACCCACTCTCCTCCTCTCCCTTCCAAGTAATCATCCCCTGTGCCCTTCTTAATTTTGCACTCCCATGTGTCCAGCTTTTTCTCCATGTGAATGTTGCCCCTCTGGTGCTCCATGGTCGATTGCTCCAAGGGACGTATCTTCATAGAGTAGGTGTGTGCATCACCCTGGGTTGAGTATTCTGCATGTGAGTCTTATTTATTATTGGGCTGAGATCCAGCCCTTGGGAATGAGTTTTAACCCAGGCCCAAAGTGTATCCCAGGGCCATGGTCTTGGGGATCTCACCAGACTCCAGCTGACCAGTAATTCTGGTCATTATTGTATGGTAATTAACACATGTTTTCATGTTCAGTCAATTTCAGACTGCAGAAGTTGGTAAAAATCCTCAACTTCCTCATCTTTGACTTGTGCATAAATTTGAGTAATAGTAGTATTACCTGATCTTCCTTGTAAGCATATGGATATTATCCTGTCACTAACCGCCTTGTGCTTCAGGACCGATCTAGAAGCAGTCTTTGTGATGATAAATGCCACACCATTCCTCAATTTGTCATTCCTGGCATAGTAGATCATATGGTTGTCTGATTCAAAATGGCCCAAACCAGTCCATTCCAGCTGACTAATGCCTAGGGTATGGATCTCTATGCGTTCCATTTTGTTTTTGACAACTTCCAATTTTCCTAGACTCATACTTCATACATTCCATGTTCTGATTATTATTGGATGTTTGCAGCTGTTTCTTCTCATCTTGAGTCATACCACATCAGCAAATTGAGGTCCTGAAAGCTTTACTCCATCCACACCATTAAGGTTGTCTCTACTCTGAGGAGGCAGCTCTTCCCCAGTCATATCTTGAGTGCCCTCCGACCTGAGCTGGTCATCTTCCAGCACTATATCAGACAATGTTTTAGGGCTATTCATAATATTTTCCAGAAATAGGCAGTGTTTCACTGCTATTCATAAGGTTTTCACTGGCCAATTCTTTGAGAAGTAGATGGCCTCTTCCTCCTTCTGAGTCTGTCTTATTCTGGAAGCACCATGGGTAACCGTGCCGGTATTTGAAACACTGGTGGCATAGTCTCCAACCTCACAGCAACACACAAGCCACCACAGTACAACAAACTGACAGACAAGTTCATCTTCCTAAGCTGTTCCAAACTGCTAGGCTTACTTCCTAGTCTCCCATAACTGTTCCAAACCCTGCCAGCTTACTTCCTTGTCTCCCTTAGCGATTCCAAACCACCACCGGGTCGCTTCCTGGTCTCCTTTAGCTGTCTGTTCCAGACTGCCACCGGCTTGTTCATCATGCTTAAAAAAACCAATCTCACTGCTGTCGAGTTGGATCTGACTCATGGTCACCTGTCTTTGGTTTACCAAGGCAGTATAACTGCAGAAGTAGATTACCCAACCTTCCTTCCAAGGATTCTTAGCCCTACTAAAATGAAGAAAAAGGCTGAGTTTATTTGCTCATATTAAAATCTAATTAGGATAGGCCTCACTTCCTTTTTATCTCTATTAATCTGACACATTATGACATTTGTGAGTACTTTTTTAAATTTTTTATTTGTTGAAACCTGAGAGGATCAATGTTATTCTAACAATGATTCTATGCACAAGAAGTAGAGCATCATGTTTACTATAAAGATGGTCTTGAAACACGAACCACAGGACTAAAATTTGTCCAGTTCCAAGCATGCAGCCCTCTCAAGGGTTACACAAGAAACTGACTCTCTCAATTTGTGAACAGACATTATTTTCATTAAAACATAAACCAAAAAATAGCAGTATATATGCCAGAATTCCATGAACACACCATCAGCAGAAGGTATCAGAAGAAACACTGGATTCATTTTTATTTATGGAATCATAGGCTATTAGAGCCAGACATAAACCATTTAGTACAACCTTCTTAATATTATAGATGAGGAAACTGGAGCTCAGGGTGAAAAAATGACTTGCCCAAAGTCACTTTGAACACCCAGTCTGGATCCCAAACCTTCTGACTCTAAATTCAATATTGCATTTGTGTGTTTCCGCATTTACTCACAGTGATCATGCTTAGATCGTATGTCCTTCAGTAATACTACACCTGTAGAATTCAAAGATTTGTCCATTCATTCAAAGTTTACTGAGCTTCTACTTTGTGCCTGATGCAGTTCTAATATCACAGTTGTGAACCAGACTGGCAAAATACTTGCCCTTGTGGAATACACATTATAATTTGGGATGAGGAGTGAAACAGTAAGAACATAAACAAAATGCTTTTATAAGTGCTGCCTGTCTCACCTAGGAGCTCTGGTGGTGTAGTCCCTAAGGCATTTGACTGCTAACCAGAAGGCTGGCAGTTCAAATGCACCAGCCACTCCTCAGAAGAAAGGTTGGGCAATCTGCTTCTGTAGTGATACTGCCTCAGAAGCCCAAGTAGGGGTCACTGAGTCACATCCAACTCGACAGCAGTGAGATTGGTTTGGTATCTCCCCTAGGATAGTCTCATTTCCATTCTACATATGAGATACAGAGAAGTTAGGTTTAATTTGCCGTTGTTCACTTAGCCTAGACTGGTGAAAGTGACTTGAACACAGGTTTTATCACTTACTAGCAGGTTTGCTGCTTCCCTACCAGTGTTTGTGAAGCTTCTTTCACAGCACCATATATATCTTCATGGGCTGAATTCATTTCACTGCCATATTGCCCTCTCCTGAAACTCAGGCAGCGTTTTCTTCTGTAGCAACTCTACGGGTGCTTCAAAGCTATCCTGATTTTCACCAGAAGCAAATATTTAATAAAATCAGCACCTTCCACTCTGACAATCCTTTAGCTTAGAAATCTTTTTCCTTTTTTTGTATTTTAATTAGCTGCCTACAATCAGTATTAGAGCTGAAGGGATCCTTAGGGTCATCAACAGTGTAATGCCTCATTTTACTGGTGAACAGACAGAATTGTCGAGATTGAGTGGCTGGAACACATATGTATAGCCACTTATTTGCAGAGTGCACCTGTTGTTCTACATCACACTTCATCTTTTATAATTCTAAGTGAAAAACTAAGACATGCCATAGCATTTTACAGATCCAATCAACTTCAGCTTTGTTCTCATACACTTAAAAAAAAAAAAAAAAAAAGTAGATGTAATTGCTTTTACCTGTCTAAATCCTTGGGTTCTTTAGTGAAAAGCATTAAGAGCAGGTTTGTGTCAACATTCTACATGCCTCGGGGGAAAAAAAATATTTTCTGTTTTGTTTTGCCCACAGACGATTCCTGGGAACCAATGCTAGAGAATACAAGCAGTGTTAAGGTAAATATATTTAAATAGCATCTCATTGGGATACAGTAGATCCCTGGGTGGCGCAAGCAATTTATCATCAGCTGCTAACCTAAAGGGTGGCAATTTGAAACCCCCCATTGGCTCCATAGAATGGCTTAGAAAGGTGCTTCTGTAAAGATTAAACCAAGGAAATGCTATGGAACAGTACTACTCTGAACATGTGGGGTCGCAGTGAGGCTCATGAACTCAATGGCGATAGGTTGCAATTGGAATACAGTGGGTTATGATTGATGAGGCCCGGTTGTCAGAGTCAAATCAGAAACTATGTGCTATGATTTGGAGGGCATCAGAAAACAATGCCTTATTCACAAGTCTCTCACACCCAGATCTTTCCCCCTGGTAGCTAAAAATCCCCTAATCTAAATTCTCACCTTTAAGTACACAGAGTAAGCCGCTATTTCTCCTTACCACCTAAGTACAGTTCCATTCATTAACTCTTGTATAGCAGTCTAATGGGAAAAACCTAGAGGAAATGAATAACTTGGCACTGCCCCTCTAGAGAGGGCACTTACTGACAGGCCACCTCTTATGTCAGTCTGAATTCCTGCCTAATCTGGACACTTTTGACTCATTGTCATTTCCCTTATTTGGTATTTTTCCCATGGTAAAACTATGATCAGAGCTGTTGTCCAGTACTGTTTTGGGTGAGATAGAGTAAGCGTATACCATTCTGTCTCATGGATTACAGCTAGAAACTCTGGACTACTACTAAAAATTCTGGAAAATAAATAATAGCAGGAGAGTGGAAAGGTAAATCAAAACTCAAAAGACTAACCAATACCATTTTGAGTTTTCTGGGGTTTTCCTCCCATGTCTCCTGACTTACATAGGCAGCTCAAATCCTGGAATAACACAGATGGAATGAACAGAATTAGTTCCAAAAAGGAGCTCTGGTAGCATAGTGGCTAAAGCACTTGACTGCTAACCAGAAGGAAACTACTGCTTTCTGACCAGAATCAAGACTTAAGTTCTTGTGTGTTGTCTCTGAGGAAAAAATCACCACCCTCCTCCTAAACCTACCCCTAGGCCCTAACTGGAGTCAAGTTCCAGTCATTAAGCAATAGTAGTAGCAGAGGTTTCTAAAGCACTTAAAACTAATCAGAGGAATTGGGAAAAGACTCTCCAGTAGCCCGGAGAGTAATGTAGGAAAACCTGTTGTTTTTTTCTGTGCTTTCTCTTGTCACTTTACTCAGGGAGGCACTTAATCATAGGAAGAGCAATATAGTATGCAATGGCAAAAGGTGAATGCCCTACATGAGAGCCATAAAATCAAAAAGGGGGCTGCTGAGAGAGAAACTGAGAGAGATCACTGAGCGAAGGGATCTTGAGGAAAACAGACCCTGAGTCTGTTTATAAAAAATATCCCCAGACCAGAGCATGCATGGAACTGACCTAAAGTTACATTGAAAAAAACCTTTGAGAACTTGAGCTATGGTGTTCATAGTGGTACAAACACTGAAAAGACTTTGGAAACCAAACTTAGATTGGAACTACAACCCATAAAAGGCAGGGTGAGATGTATGAAATTTATCTAAGTAAGTTGATTGCCTATTTAAATAAACAAAAAAGAAAAACTCAGCATTCTCCAGAGGATTTTAATACAACTAAGAGTGTCATAAATTATTTGAAATGTCTAAGACACAGTAAAAAAAAAAAAAAGAAATACTCGAAATACGAAGAACAAAGATAGTATCTATAATTTTCAAATGAAAGGACAGGAGAATCCAAGGTTGCCAACACTTTGGAATTTTTAAACATCTATTTTAACAATGCTCCATTAAATAAGGGTAAACACTTTCAAAACTAATGGTGATGATAGAAGTTCTCAGCAGAATTCAGGTATATCTACTCATCACAGACAACATGGTACCATGTGCTCCCTCCTAATTCTTTTAGATTAGAGAGTCTTAACTCTGGTTACACAGAGGTTCTGTGGGATATCACTTTTTAAAAAATATCAATATCTTCATAACCTCAGGGAGTCCAATTCAATTGACATGAGACCCAGGTATTAACATCAAAAAAACTAAACTCATTGCCATTGAGTGTATTTGACTCACAGAGCCCCCTCCTTGAGTTTCCAAAGCAGTATCTCTGCGGAAGAAGATTGCCCAATCTTCCTTCCAAGGAGTGTCGGGTGGGTTTGAACTGCCAACCTTCTGGCTAGCGGTCAAATACTTTAGGCACTACGCCACCAGAGCTAAAATTTTACAGATGATTCTATTATTCAAGCAAAGTTGAGAAACCGTGCTTTAGATTGTATCTGCCCTGTTACATACTTAATATATCCTGTTTTGAAATATCCTAAAACAGAAGCTGCCTTGTTTCTTTTTGAAGAACTAGGTAAAAACTCTTAATGTGTGCCGCTCTTTACATGACCTGTACACATTTATCTCATGTGGCATGAATTTAGGCTTTGTTTCATTTGACTTATTACTTTTTCTGTCAGCACCATAGAATAACTACACCAATGTTCAGCTATTTCTTCTCTCTGGGACAGACACTGATTCTACATTTGAAGAGGTGATAAAGATCAAAGTAAAGATAATACCTGAGCTATCATTATCCTTGTCCTACCAGCTTCCCATAGCCACCTTTATTGTTCTAGATCCCTCAGTTGCTAAGTTTCCATAAACTGGAATGATGAAGTGAACATACCTTTTTTCCTTCCTTTATCATTATCTGGTCTCAAGAAAGGATTTGTAACATTTCTTATTCTAATTTAGCCGAAAGAGGGAGTGGCCAGATAAGAACTGGCATTATTGAGATTTAAGACAACTGAGTCTCTGAGATCTTCCTGTAATGGTACTAAGTCCCACATCCATGACAAAAGCCAATAATGGGCATCATAATTGCCAGAAAGTTATTCTCTGAGACTACAGAATACAGATATTACCATATACGATGGTACAATGAATGCGCTCCGTCACTTGGGAGTGGGAGGTTATAGATATCTCTAGTGTTACTGTCTATAAAAGACTAAATTAGTGTTTCACTTTGTCTTGGCAGTTTTACAGCATCTATGACGGACACCCCAGTATTATTGGCAGTGAACATCCTTCAAAGGAAGTCGTTTCTGGTAAAAAAAAAAAAAATCATTTTAAGAACTACTGTAATATAGCTTTCCATTACATAATTTAAACATAATATTTGGATCAGTTCCCTCTTAGAATGAGTGGCTCCTCCTTCGCAGTATACACATTTGTTATCCATACAGGCAGTCCCCAGGTATAAATGAGATCTGTTCCTACTGTATCTTTAAGAATTTGTAGGTAATTCAGTTCAGGTGCATACAGTTCTTATTTAGCATTACTTTAGTATAAAAGAGTGAGTCCTGGTGGCTTAGTGGTTAAAGTGTTTGGCTGCTAACCAAAATGTTGATTGTTCAAATCCACCACCCACTCTGCAGAAGGATGCAGTAGTCTGCTAACAAAAAGACTAACAGCCTTGGAAACCCTATGAGGCAGTTCTGCTCTGTCATATAGCATCACTATGAGTTGTAATAGAATGACTATGAGTCGTAATAGACTCAGTGACAGTGGGTTTGGCTATTTTCGTTTTAGTGCAAGGAAAAATTTGAAGCTTTTTCCATAATTTAAAAGCTATAGATGTAGCAAGTGAAAGTGATTGTGATAAAGAATGTGTGACAAGCAGGGATTGATTCAATGTCTTCATGTTGTTGTTGTTATTACGTGCCGTCGAGTCGAACCCAACTCATAGTTACCCCTCCTTGGGTTTCCGAGGCAGTATCACTATGGAAGTAGATTGCCCCATCTTCCTTCCGAGGAGTGGCTGGTGGGTTTGAACTGCCAGCCTTCT